AATAAATAATAATAATAATAATAAAATATGATTGCAATATTTGTGCTAGAAAAGTTGGTTTAAAATGAAAGAAAAATTTGTAAACTTATAAAATCAATCAATGAAAGGGCGAAAAAGCAAAGCTTTTAGGAACAAAGTTAATCAATAACAAAGTAAAACTAATCTGTTGAGAGGGAAAGAAAGAGGGCGAGAAATTCTTGAAAATAAAAAAAACAGAAAATTCTTGAAATACTTGAAACTATAAAAAAAAAAGAAAAAAGAAACATCCAAGAATATACAAATATGTTGAAGAAAAATATGAACAAAAACATATAACAATTTTGTTATTATTTAATTTCCATTGATAAAAATGATAAGATAAAAAGGATAAAATAAGAAATATTACGGAAGCAAATATCAAATGAAGAAATAAGATGATAATGATAAAAGGGGATATATGTTTTGAAAAAAGTGATAAACAAAGCTTTACAACTCAAAAAAAAAAGTTGAAAACTAATTTCGTGATATCAAATGGAATTGAAGTTTTAAAATTTTCAAAAATTAAAACATAAATGATTGTATGCATGCATTCATTTGTAAAATCATTTCCTTTCCTATTAGTTTTCTTTTTTTTCCGTTCCTTTTTCTGAATCATGAAAATCATTTGGCTAATCATTGATATTATATCATTTTTTAAAAATTTACATAATTCCAAACTTCTAGACTAAATTTAAATTTTTAATCTAATCATATTTTCATTATGATAGAGAGTGAAAACAAGCAAATTTGATCAGTGTGAATGGATTATACAAATCAAAAGGTTTATATTTGGGATTATTTTAGTGCGCCAATTGCGCTTATATGGTTTCTTACAACAGCATGGCTTTTTGCAATTATAATTTCGCAATATTTTTTAGTACCATTAGATCAACCAGTTATACAGGTAAGATTGAAATGACTAGGTAAATATTGAAGTAAATAGAAAAGACATAATTTTGTCTAATGGGTTGATCTAATGTCATCTCTTAAATTCCCATAATTTTCTCCTCCTTTTCTTCTTTTTTTTGAAGATATAACTTTTGTTCATAGAAAATTCTTTTTTTGTACAATATTATGGGAATTTAAGAGATGACAATTTAAAATTGATCAGATTAAGTCTAAATTAGATAGATTAATTAAATGATGTAAACCAATATGCATCTAGCATCATTTAAAGGGTAAAGGTTATTATATCTTTCTCATTTTTTTCTTTTTTTAAACTCTTGCCTTTAAAAAATTAACTATTGCATGAATATCATTCATAAAGCTTCTATTTTCGTGTACGATTAATCCGTATTCACCAAATGCAGAGTTATTGTTAATTCCTGCAAACTATTTTATCTAGTTTGGATAATTTATTGCAAATTAATTAATAACTGACAGTGAATTAAGAAGTTGCCTCTAATTGTTTTATGTACAATACTTTTTCATACTTCATAATGGTTGGCTGCAACTATCAGAAAATAGCACAAAAGAGGGATTACATTAAAATTCCCGACAAATAATATCGAAGTTTTTCCTTCATAAGCATTTTTTTAGCCACCATTTGGAGGACCATGGCGAGAAACGGTGACATCGAAAAAACGAAACTAACAGTGATGTAATAGTTTCTAAATTACAACATTTAATACAATCTAAAATAGCCAGAAAGTATGAAAAGATGCAGTAAAAAATAGAAGAGTCAACGACACTTAACCATCGAATCATAATTTAATTAAATAAGGGAACATAGAAATCATGAGGTTACTTTTTAATAATGATTAAAACAGTTCAACTGATTTATATCTGTTACGCTACCGGCCAAAATAAATGATTTAAATCAATCATCATTTTAATTTATGCCGTTTATTTGTGCTTTTTATATTTTGCTAATCACCAACGAAATCAATGTAATCTTTAAATGTAAAAACGATTCGTGTAAATTTTGCAATAAATGAATCAAAATTCATTCAGTTCTCATAATGCATGGATCTAATGGCACAAGTCTAATAATATCAAGCAAACTTCAAAAACTTAACAACTTGAAAACGAATCCAAAACTTTCATAAAACAAATGAAAAACATATTCAAAGAAGGATTAACACTGATTATAAATCATATATTATTGACAAAGTTTATCTCACTGGTGTTTTCTAGATTTTCAAAAAGAAAGCAATTTCGCTACTTCAATTTCGATAAATTCGCAAACTAGAGAGCAACCTCAATGCATGACTATTAAAAAGACAAAAATATAACCGACTTCATATCAAAACACATGAAAAAAATTAAACAAAAACCTTTTTGGATCATCAATCATTGCTTGCCTATAGTTTTTCCACTAACAATTAAATAAACTACCAGATGTTAGCATCGTCATTTACTTTCGTTTTCTTCAGAAGCTTTTTTGAGTTTTGCACTAACTTCACGATGTGAACCATCACAAAATGGACGTGTTTTCGTTTGTTTACAGTTACAGAACCACACCTGAAAATCTTGCAATATCATTACAATAACTTCCATTGCACTTTAGCCACTGCAAGCTCCATCCCGATCAAAAAAGTAAACATTTATGAAACATTAATCTAGAAAAAAAAAATTAAATTTCGGAATTAAGAAACTAACTTCCATTTCTTTATCAGGAATGAATCGTACAGGTCTTAGTTTTGTTGGAATGTAGTAATGAAGGTGACTCCCATCACATAACGGCTGAAATACATTATTAGTCGGAAAGAATTAAAAACGAAGAATATCAGAAATAAATCAATGATATTCAGAAAAAAGAAATTCTTTCAAAAAATTTTTCCACTGCATGCCACATTACTTCAATTAATACAGCTAGAAGTATTTGTAGAGAATCTACACTGGATTATTTTCAAATAAATTCTTGTCCGCAATACCTAAAGATATTTAAATCAAATTCCCCGCTCTCTCAACCCCATCCTTTGTGAGTGTAAGCCAATTACAGTTTACACAAAACACCTCTTTCGGCGAGCTTTAAACTTTAGCATCCTTTATAATAATTGGACCAAAAACATGATTTAAATTAAAAGAGCATGAATAACAAAAGATTTAATAATACCTGAGTTCCACTATAACCGCATGAGCACCAAGCATAAATTTTATCTTTTTTTAGAACTGCTCTAGTCGGCAATGTTGAACTAACTTTCCCAGTACCGGGCAGCAGATGATGCGTCCCTTGTAATCCATATTTATGCAATGGTTTTTTATCATGCAGCTAAAAAGAAAGAGGCTCAGTTTTGCAGTTAAATTAAAAATTTGAAAAAGTACAATTTTACAACTAAGAACTACCAGATAAAAAACTGAAGTTATGCACGAACAACAATAATAAGAAAAGATATAACAAGATGTGATGACAGCCGAAAAACAGCACAAAATAAATATTGAACCTATGTTACATCCATGTGTCTCCTTATATTGTCAGTGCATCATTAAAATGATAAGAAAAAATGAACAAAGGAATTTCCTTCTGCTGTATGAGCTATGCAGAATATTCGTAAAAAGTACTGAAGAATAGATGACTCCCACACTCCTTCGCTAGTGTATATTTTCACCGATTTGTAATCTATTTTAATCAAATTTCCTAGAGAATTTAATACACGAACAAGTGTATGTATTACAAATGACCTTGCGATGAGAGGGATAACCGCTCTATCACAAAAGATGTCAAAATTTTTTATGCACTATAGAAAAAAAGGTACTCGGTGAAACCAATTTCGATAAACTGATGACCACGAATCTCAAATCGACCCACTGCGAATTTCGAGAATTTTGTTAGTTTCAGGAAAAATACAAATCGATCGAAACCAGCACACTTCCATTTTTTATTTTTGGCGTCACGAAACATTAACGATATAAAGAGTCATATGAATAAGCTACGACACTTCGACCACAGAGATTAACCGTAAAATGATGCATAATTAGACAAATTAGTCACAACCAAGAAAATGCAACTTTTCGTTGTAGATGACATCCTTATATAGATATATTAATAAGAAGCACTCCCCTATATAGTGTTATAAAAACAAATGCTCGAAACATAAGTATTTAGTCTTGAACTCATCACATAGAATTAAAAAGTTCATATCTTCTACTAATTATTTGAAAGCTTGCTTACATTTGCTAGCCTTCTACGGAATGCAGTAATTATGAAGTATTACAACTTACTTGATAATTTGCTGAATTAAAGATAAACCGTTGTGTTTAAATAAAAGATTTGTTTCTATTCTTTTTCAAAATCTCCCTCTTTCATCCTCTCTCTTTCTATCCATCTATAGCAATTAAAAAACATGTTGTAGCCAGCTTTTGCATGCGAACTTTAGAAATCAAAATGAGATATTCGGAAATAAACATTTCTACAATTTTATCACGTAATTCTTATCATTTTTCGCATAAACTTATAGTTTCATTCGTTCTCACAAATACACCTCTTTCACTTTATTGCACTGTCAACAAGATATTAAGAAAATAACAGACTTAAATTGAATTTATTTTCAGAAAACAATCGACATTAATCTATGGATGACTAAATATAACAATAGCTTATTCGTGTGAACTAATATACCCGTCGGAAATATAATAAGAAAAAATGAACCTCAGGAAAAAAACTTTTTTTTTTAGATTATAACTCAACTGTAGAAATTAATAAAACTTACCACATGATATTTCAACGGATGTGGTTCAGTACCAACAAAGTGTTCACCTTTTCGTATATTACGATATGGTCCCCAACCACTTTTGCCACTTGATCGTTTCAATGTAAGGGTGAACCGCCTTATCAACGAACAATTCACCATTTAATAGAATAGAAAGTAAAAGTACCTGAAAATCAATAAAAGAATTGAACTTCGACTATTTTACTGTTAATATCATTAATAAAAAGAAAAAGAAACGCGATTTCACGATAACTTTAAAGAATGAAAATAGAAATTAATAGGGAATAGAAATTTTAAAAAATGGAACATGAGAAATGATCAGTACCAAAAAGTTAAAAAAATTGGACGCTTTAAACATTACTTTAAACATTACTTGTATACTCCTTTCAGTAGTATTTATACATTATTTCACTGTTTGTTGCTGAATTTAGCTTTGTCTTTTTTTTCTGTAAATACATTCGAAATTTCTTTTGAAAAATATTCGCAATATTTCTTTACAATTTTTGGAAGGTTTCACTTGATTGCATTATTTCTGCCCTCTCAAGAATTAACTTGTTTCTGGATAACACAAGTGGTTGTTTTATCAGCTGGATTTTAATACCAAATAGTAAGATAACTTTCGATTGATTATGCTCTGAGCAGAATATTTTGCTATCAAGGTATGAATTTGCTTAGCAGAGCATTAACTATGATGTTGTTCTGTTACTGAACAATAATGTATTTTTACTGCAGGTTCTTTTCTCTGTTTTTGAAAAATTTGTTGCTTTCACAAAATCGTTGAAGCGAACTTCCGAAACCAATTGCTGTCAAAAATCACTGAACTCAGTTAATGTTTAAGACGAATAAAAACAAGAATCAACAAAATTAAATGAACTCTTCAATTTATTACAAGTCCGCCTAAATTAATCTCCTATACTCTGCAATATATCCATCTCACTTTAAAATGAAATATGAGACTTTTTATCCCAGCAGTTAGAAAAAAAAAAAAAACATAGCAATCCGGTTATTCCTAATTCTGCAGAACCTCTTTTAAGAAGGAAAATCTTGAAGCCATACTAAACACAACACTGGTTGACTGCTCGAGAATGTCATCTGTATTCACCTATGACCTTGAGACCAAACCATTCAACTAAAATATCTCCATCACAGAAATCTGTTGAAAATCGATAACTGTTACTGATGTGCTTAATCCACAAAAAAAATACAACAATTTCATTTTTCCACGTTATTCCTGTGACATTATAATTTCAACAATTCAAACAAAATCTACATTTTATCGTAATATTCAGTCTTCTCTCTTTCTCCAGTGCCACTTACAATCACTAGAATAAAACCGGAAAAAAAAAAAAAAAAA